GATTTTTGGTGCCACCAGGATGGCACCACTTGGGAGTGTGGTGGGTGGAGAAAGTAAATTAGTGCAAAAAGTATGTTTTTTTTTTCTTAAATATTAGGTAGTACTTAATGGGTTTAGATTAGAAATAGATAAATGAAACTACGGATATTCCTGAATGAAAAAGGAATTAAAAAAGTTAAAATGTCAAAAATATTAAGGAGCAAATAACTGAGGCATTATTGTATGAATTTGCATAATACTCTAGAAATCGATAAACTTTTATTAATAAACGGTACTTCTCAATTATACGACATTGTGTAACAAAAACTTTACTTCCGTTTCAGATAGCGACATCTAGTGGTTATTAGCCCTCATTATTTCTCCAACCTTTTTAATATTATGTTATATATTAAGAATAAATAAACATATTCTCTTAGTAGATTATCTTGCTTACCTTACTTGCTTATCAGTATGACCATATATAGTAGGTTCCTACCATTTTGGCAGGATTGGCCACTTATTTTAGCCTTTGGCATGATCGGTTGACGTTTTATAAAACTTGGCAGTATTTGGACTGCCTGATTCGGGTATTAAAAATAGGTTTCATTATGGCAACTCAAAATACCTAAAATGGCGACTCTAGACACTGGGATTTCCCTGTACTTCTCGTATTGTGTTTGCATCACATTCAATGAACAACTTTAAAAGTTTATTTGTACAGTTGATAATCTTGAAACAGTTATTCATAAACACCAGCTTAGGTTTAATATTTCAATCAGTCATAGAAAGGACACTTAAAATATATATGTATTGCAAATTTCGCAAAGGGACTGCTATACTTACCAATTAAGACAAAAACACGAAACAGATTTATAAACATCATATAGCGTCTATCTTGCACGTTAAGCAAGGTATTATTGGGCATGGTGATTGCATTGTATTCAAACCAACGAAATCTATGTTAAATCGAATGAATAAATCCATGTATAAAGATGAAAAAATTAAGTATATAATGCTTACTGCAATGTTTAATTTTAATTTAATAAAAATGTAGCTACAATGGCAAATAAAATTGGCAGTATTTCGGCATTTTTCTCAAGAGACTTTGGCAGTTTTGGCAGGTTTTTAACCAAAGTAAGGCAGGATTTGTATTTTAAAGATGGCCACACTGTTGCTTATAAAACGGTCAAGATGGCTTTTCACTATGGGATGTAATACATATTATATCCCGAGATATAAATTATATCCCGCGATTGCCCTTCACACTGTGAGATATATCTTTTAACTTGTGTGCGTTCATCATTGGACGAGCTGTGGACGGAGCGGGGGCGCAGAAGGGTGTGCGGGGTACAGGAGGTGAAATATAATATGAAAATATTGCTCGATTGGTCGAGAAAATATTTATAGTTTGGGATGTAATATATTATTACGAGCTTGAGGTTCGTGACAATAAAAACTGCCGATTGAATTACCAAAATTTACACTTTTATTACCTAACACCAATTAAATTTAAAAAAACACTAATAATTAATCACACTGATTCACTTTATTTCGCTCCGAAGCTTCGCTTGTCTCGCCAAATTCAATACTGCCCCGATCGCGGCATGCAGCGGGTTTAAGTACACTTTTACGCCGAAAGATCCAGAATATTCGAGTAAATACGGGCGCCAAACGACCAGGCGCAGAAAGTTCGAGTGTGGGGCTTCTAGAAAGCTTAATTCTTCTGTTTGATACTAGATGGCGCTGTTAGTCGAAAGTCAAGATTGACATTTTCTAGGAAGCCCTCCTCGCTATGGTCCCCAACACTAGGTGGTACTAGTGCCGGGTCAGTGCATGACGTCAACTTAGGCGCGCAACAATATATTACATCTCAGTGTAAACGGTTCCATTTAAAACTACGGTGAGCGATACTAATTTATATCTCGAGATAAATTATATTATATCCCATAGTGGAAAGTGGGCTTTAGTCATTGGATGATCTGGGGACATAGCGGAGGCGTGGAAGGGTGTGCGGGGAACAGGAGGCGAAATAAAATATGAAAATATCGCTCGGTCGATCGAAAAAATATTTATAGTTTGGGATGTAATATATATTACATTTTAGTGTAAACGGTTCCATTTAAAAGTACGGGGACCGATATTAATTTATATCTCGAGATGTAATATAAACTATATTATATCCCATAGTGAAAAGTGGGGTTCACACTCGTGGTGACCAGTGTTGCTAACTTGACGGGGGTTTCCCGCTAGATTTGACAGGTCAGCGAGGTTGGCAACAAGAAAAAAATTGTGTTTAACGGCTAACAGATTTTTCAGCGGGACAAGAAAAATTTATGTTTTTTTAGATTTGTTTTCGAAATAAAAATAATGTTAAATATAATATAAATAATGTTAAATATAATATAATATAATATAAATAATGTTAAATGATAGGCAATTATTAAATTATAATTTTATTAATTTTTTAGTTTAAAAATACGAAAAAATGTGAAATACATTCTTATTTTTAAAAAGTTGAGAGAGTAAATTTTCATTTGACGTAATTCTTTTAAATACGGCTTGGAAACTGTTTTGTCGTTGGTCGGCCAAAATGATGCGCTACCGTTGAACATGTAGAAAATTATCAACTACTCTATTTATTTCATTCTCTCTCTTTACTGTTTGAGTCACATATCCTTGTCTATGGGATCATATGTACAACGTCTAATCCACTTTTGTTATTATTATCTCTGCCATTGAATTCTCAAAATAATTCTTTTGTATGTAATACGGATGTTTGATCTGTAATAAAGTTTTTGTTGAATACTCGCAATTTTTTTATTAAAAATGGGAAAACTGCTGGAAATCCTATTTATAAACAAAAATTCCGTAATGAGTGGCTTCAAGATATTCTATGCAAGGATATATCTTGCGAAAAGACAAAAGTCCGGGAGAATTCGTGGCGTCTTGTAAATATTATATGTGTTTTATAAGAAAAATAAAATATGAAAAGTAATAAATCAAAAATCCCTACTTAACGGGTTTTGGCGGGATTGTAGCATTCTATACAGCATAGGCATGAGTCGGATATATCAAAACGAATCTAAAATCCGATTTCAAACACAAATCGATTCGTATAGATTGCTCAAACTAGAAAATCCGATTTCAAAAATCGACCTAACTAGCTAAACTCTTACGATCTGTACAACCAAACCAATCCAAATCGAAAATAAAATCGACAGTATCCAAATCTAAACGCAAACTGTTGCGTAGAAATCCAAATCCGTTTTTTCAGTGTTTCTCTCGATGACGTTTTGTCGGCTATGGAATATCGAAATCTATTATACATTGAGATATGGGATCAATATTATCCTTACTGCTTAGTACGTAAAGTCTATATTGGCTTTGCGAGATTATGCGTTGCTGAATTTTTGGTTCAGTGTGCGATCAATATCATTCTTATTGTTAAGTCGTTTAAGGCTATATTTCCGAGATTGTGTGATGATTTGTTTTTGTTTTTAGTTAAGTGTTTGCTTACTTAAAATAATTTTTTGTTTTCATGTTATTATGTTTTAGACTTTAGACGTAAATTTAATCCTGGTGACAACTGCTCGCATGCTGTTCCGTCGTAACAGTGTATTGTATTATATTATTTACTGATATTTATTGCCTTAATACCTTTTTGTTTAGTAAATATATGAAAAAAGTTTATAAAAATGTTTAAAAATCGGGAGTGAATTGTATGTGAGTGTACGTTTTAAGTGAGTAAGTTATTGATCATAAAATAATTTATCCGCATTTGTCGGAAATATATTGCTCAAAATGCAATATTGTCGCGACATCCGTTCCGTGCGAACGAACTTTTACAAAGACGGTATTAATAATAAATGAAAAGGGGTGTCGTCTAAAGTCGCCAAAAGTGGAGCAAATTGCGTTTTTAAACGCAAATATTAATCTAAACAGATTCTGAAATAAAAAATTAAAAAAATAAAAAGTGAAAAGAAGCCAAAAAAAATATAATAAGAAATCATTTTAAATATACCGATTATTAAATGCGCCGGAAAAGTTCTAATTTCATACAAAATTTTTCTGCTAGTCCTAAGCCTAGATTAAAGCATGAAGGATAATCTCGCAAATCTGTTTCTGTATTAGTTAGATTTGAGTTTGTCGTTTTGTTAACTTATAAAACGAAATCTAAGTACGCAAACGAATTGGCGTGGCTAAGCGATACTGAAATCGGATTTTTAAAAACGGATTTTGAAATCGATTTTGAAATCTGAAATCGGATAAATATCGGTTTGCGTTCAAATCTAAAAACGCCCATGCCTAATACAGAAGAAGCGAAAATTAAATGTTGGTAGCACTGGTGACTGGTGCTGACAACAAACAAACCATAGATAAATAAACAATCTGAGAATCTGTAGGTATTAAGCGTAGACAGAGAAACCTATAGACTAATGATCGGCGTGGCCTCGAGTGAGAAAGAACGATAACGAATTTTTAGGTTATATAATAATCTTTATGACTTTTATACACATTTAGATAAAATTTTTAATTGTTCTAAGAACTAAACTGAACAAGATTCACCAATCTTAAGCTCACAAAAAACTTTTTTTCTCACTTAAACCAACTTGTAAACTCCTTAAATTGCTACGCTGTCAAAGTTGTTTAGCAAACTGTAGAGTTTGCTAAACAAAAAAACCGGCACGGAGAAAGGGACAAACAATCACACCGCTCTATCTCATTTCTATGCAAGACGTATGCATAAATCTATCTTTTTCGTGTGCGAATGCGAAAGAAGGCGTCAATTTGTCTATAGGTTTCTCTGTCTACGGTATCAAGCGTAGACTTTCTCTGTCTACGGTATTAAGCCTTCAACAGCCTTCAAATCAGTGCAAATCAGGCCCGTGACAACTTAGTTCCATTCTACGCAACTTGGCGCTACCGTCGCAATTTGTCTCTGCCTACGGACGCCATTTTGAGACGCCATATTGTGTTGATGTCAAAACATATTGTCAAAAATCAAAATCTTCAAATCAAATATGGTGGAAGAAGATGAATACGCTTGTGTAAACAAGGCACAGCTTAAAATTAAGGATAATTCAGGAATTAAAAAGAAAAAAAAGAAGAAATCAAAAAAAGAAACAGAGAAAACTATCGTTAGCGAAGTGAAACAACAAATAAAGCAACAAAAAAATACTGATTCAAAAACTAAAGCTGAGCTTGCTTTTCTTAAGATGCAGGAAAAAATGGTTAGTATAATTTGAACCAGCGCATTATGTGTGTTATCACTGTCTTGTGTCTTAAGTACTGTCGTACGTTCAAATTGCTGAGTTAAATATAGTCGAATAACAATTTTACGTAGGCATTGGATATTGATAGGTGAGGAAGTCATACCTGCTGTTTCCATGTTAACCTCTGTTATGAGAGTTTATGTTATGTTTTAGCAAAGTCAGGCTAAACGAAAATTACAATATTAAAAATAAAGTGGTTTATAAAATTTAATTTATCCTCGGGCTTTTATATATTCACATTGGCACTACTGCAATTGGTTATCCCATTTTTAAAATTTAAATTATCACCAAGCTTTTATTTATTTAGTAAAATTCGTGTTATACAATGGCACTACTGAAATTGTTTATCCCATTGTTAAATGTTGATTCTCCACATCTACTAGGCATGACAGAAAATTGGCAGTGACACCTGGAAATCTAAAAATTATAAAACATTAAAAAGACATGTGAAGCTTCAAAATCCTCTTTTTTTAATGAGTGGACTATTGTGCCCAGCTATAGGACACAAAATTAGCTACTGCTCTTATGTTATCAAAGTTAAGACATTTTACTTAATTTAAACTTGTTTAAAGCTCTCGAATGAGAATTATATGAAAAATATAAATCTGCCAAAAATGATAAGTTCTATAATTCCACAACATTTTCTAGGCAATCATGCCTATTATTTATAATTTAAAAGAATTTAATAATGCTAATTCTTGCTAGATCTGACTAAAAATTTTTAGTGTCAAATCCTATCAGCTTTTCCACTCTCAAATTGAACACCACTAAGAATATGGATACCAGAAACAAAAAATTAAAAGCTCTTATTAATGACAAATTCTATCAGCAAAACAAACTTTTCAACTTAACTTTTTTATGAAAAGGCAAATTTCACATGTCTTCAAAATATTTCTTTTCTTATTTCTCAGATATGCAGGTTTCCTCACGATGTTTTCCTTCATGGGCATATAGTAAATCAGCACTTGAACTTGCAATTAACAATTTCATTGGTGCCTGCAGGGATTGAACTCAGGTTGCTCTTATACTGTGAAATTTACAGCGAGAGCTAACCATCTGAGCTATCACGGCTCAACTTATAAGTATGTACATAATGTTAATAAATAATAATGAGTATTATAACATCCCAACTCTAAACCTTAGTATACACGCTGGCCATGTAAATATCTACGCAAGTGGTGGCATCACCTGACATCAATGACATTACACAATTGTAAGGTCTAAACTCTGTTATGAGTTAGTTTGGTGTTTGTGTTGTGGAGTTTAAGCTTAAACTCGAGTCTGAGTCTGAATTCTAGCAGAAGAATTATTTTCAGATTCTTTTTTAACATTATACTAGCTTGCCAGGCAGAAGTTGTTCTGCCCTTATCGACGACAATTTGTCATGCCCTTTAAAAATCCTTAATATCGCAAAAAAATATTGTGGCAAAAAAAACTATCCTATCTCTCAAGTTCGGACAAACTGCACACAGTGTGCAAATTTGATTAAAATCGATAAAGTAGTTTAGGAGTCCATCGTGGACAAACAATGTGACACGTAATTTATATATCGACGCTGGAAAGGAAAAATTATCCAAGCGACATTTTTGGCCATATTGAGTTATAAACATTGTTGGAATCGCCTGATTTTTCTGCGTCGTTTGGTCTTACTCACGTCCTTCTACGACGACTTTTGATGTCGCTTCGACATTATGGAATTCGCGAGGTTTCACTTTTTTTCCTTTCTAACCGACAAAATTTTCGAGCATTTTTGAAAATTTGGTGGTAGTCGTAATTGTGAAATGCTAAATTTGACTTTGGTCAAGTTTGACATTTCTGTTCGTACGGTAATTACTCCACTTAGTTAATTTTTCCAGTATCTGGCAATATAGTGTAAGGCGCATAGTATATCTTTTCCTCAGAAAGGATTTGTTCTTTTATCACTTAGGTAATTTTGGCTGATTTGGTTTTTTTTGAACATGGCGTTTAGTTAAAATTGGCAGTTTTCTTTTTTTAATATTCAACTGGTTCAGCAAATATTACCTGCTTAAAAATACAACTGACTGTCGGTTAGTCAATTTTTACCTGCCGTTTTCAAGTGTTATTTTATTATTTAGGCAACTTTTACTTGACCGTATACGATTATCCAATGTTGGTTACATCCTATGGTTGTGTCACGCACAGGCGCAAAGTTTATTTTTACCTAAAATAATTCACATAAAAAACGTCGGTTACACTTACGGATAACGCGTGAGCAGTCGCTTGAGCATGCAGTGAAGTTAGTTTCAAAGTAAAAAAAGATACTTCAGTGCACGGCCGGTCGTCGCTTGGGAGACACGCGCACGCTGCAATTCCGTTGTCAACTGAGGTACCGCTTACGCTTATCTTATGACAAACACGAAAACTGTAAGTTGAACTAACAAATAAATTCGTTTTTAATGCTGTTTTCGCGTTACTACATGGTGTACCTTTATTTCAGAACAATGGACCGAAGAAAACGTAGTCATAGTCTTTTGGAAAAGGCTCTTAAAGAATCGGGAATCTCTTTTAAAACCAAGGACGATTTACAGTCGGTATGTATGTAATTTTCTTTGCATCTCTCATTGTTGTTTCGTATTATTATTTATGTTATGTACCTACCTATATTAGATTTCTGTTTTGCTATCATACCTAGATAAGGGCTCCGTTTAGCTTGTTAGGTACTCATTGATTGAAGGTCACGTGTCGTCACTGGCGCTATATAGCTATATGGCCAAAGTCGTGTGTTTAAAAGTAATATTGGTACTGCTGCTTTAAGGACCTACACAACTATCTTTCAATTGTTATTCTCTTATGTTTATAAAAAGTGAGTGCTAGCTTAGAGGAAAGTAGGTAGGTGTATGTTTGGATTATAAACAATTTGGTCAGAATTTATAAAAAATATGAAACTTTTACCATGTTTTAGGCCAGTAAAAAGTCTAAAGAAACTGACCCAGAGAAGCAGAAAGCACCTGGATATAAAAGTCAGACTGTCACTGAGGAAAAGAAACAGACGAATAAAAAAAAATATTGCAGACAACTAAAATTTGAAGAGTATGTAAGTACCTACCGACGTATTTTATTATATTTTTAAATATAAGACATATCTTACTAATTTAATTATTGCGTACCTACTAACTGCTTTCGTGGTCTAGTGGTCTGTGTGTTGGTCTCGGGATCCGGAGGTCCCTGGTACGATTCTTGGGGGCGAACACACAAAGTTGATATTTTTCACTTTGTGAATTTGTTCCCAGTTTGATTAGGACATTGCAGGCTGAACCACCTGATTGTCCGTAAGAAAGATGGTTCCGTGTTTCGGAGGGCACGTTAAGCCGTCGGTCCCGGTTGCTGTCTATGTTCACTTAGACGGCGGCGGTCGTAACACAACCATGTCAAAGGCCTACTCGTAGTAGTAGGGAGTTTGAAAACTCTGACACCAGGGTTCATCGGGTCGTTCGTTGACTCGGTATCCCACACGACAAGAAGATAAACTAAATTATTTCTAATATTAATTTGGCTTCTTAGTGAAGTTTTCCTTTAGGGTATTCTACCTTAAGAAATTCCCTGGTTCGATTACTAGGGATACTATATGGTATAAAAATAATTTGCTGATGATTCTGTACTTCGCAGAGTACATTTTAGCTGACTTATTTTGACTAATGTCATTGAGAGTAATCAATCATCATTAATTAAATCTTTGGCCATATGGTCATGTCATGATTTTAGATAAAATAAATTAAAGAAGCTACTTCGTTTATTTCAGAATAAAACGCGTAAGTGCTCTTCAACTGCGCCTGTAATATCACGACGTATTACTGAAGATGAAGAAAACTATGACCCTGAGGAAGTTTTCGCAGCTCTTACAGATACCATGCAGCATATCCACAGTACGGACTTACTTTCGAATGACGATGCAGCATCAGGAGTTTCTCACAGTATGGACATATCTGCGATTAATGATACCGTTCGAGATAATTGGCAAGTTTATCTCGATCCTTCGCAGACTGGAACAACAAGTCCTCGCAGTATGGACTTACCTTCGAATGATGATTCAGCTCCAGGAGTCCCTCGCAATATGGACTTACCTTCGAATGAGGATTCAGCTCCAGGAGTCCCTCGCAGTGTGGACTTACCTTCGAATGATGATCCTGCTCCAGAAGTCCCTCGCAATATGAACTTACCTTCGATTGACGATCCAGCTCCAGGAGTCTCGCAGTGTGGACTTACCTTCGAATGATGATCCTGCTCCAGAAGTCCCTCGCAATATGGACTTACCTTCGATTGACGATCCAGCTCCAGGAGTCCCTCGCAGTGTGGACTTACCTTCGAATGATGATCCTGCTCCAGAAGTCCCATGGACTTTACCTTCGATTGACGATCCAGCTCCAGGAGTCTCTCGCAGTGTGGACTTACCTTCGAATGATGATCCTGCTCCAGAAGTCCCTCACAATATGGACTTGCCTTCGATTGACGATCCAGCTCCAGGAGTCTCTCGCAATAAGGAGTTACCTCCAAAGGATAAAGCTGCTCTAGGTGTAAGTACTCGTAAACGAAAAGCCAAAACAAGTATCCGATATGTTGATTACATGTCTGATGAAGATTTTTCCACTTTATTCTGTCTTGGTGAAGAGAATGGCGCAGTTGATTCTGACGAATGGGTAGGATCTGACACGTCAAACAGTGATGAAGAAGAAGACCAGTCAAATAAGAAAAAAACAGGAAAAAGAAGCGGAAAGAGTCAAGTAAGAATAAAAACAGGGAATTGCTTGAAAATAATACTGAAGAAAATTTGGATACAGAAAACGAGAACGTAAGAGAAAAAGGTTTAAAAAGAGTGAAGAAAAACACGAGAAAGGAAAGGGCTCTTTCGAAACAAACAGGAAAAGAATACGTAAGAAAAGATGGTCAATTAGTGCCAGAAAAATCAATTCAACCTAATCCATAGAGATCCTAATCCTAAGGGTAAGAAATGTGGGAACAATTGTGAAAACGTAACCGAAGAAAAAAGGCAACAAGTATTTAAACATTTTTGGACGCTTACCCCTGAACGCCGTAGAGACTGGTTGGTTGGCATGACTGACAAAGGAAACGTTAAACGTAAACGTAGTAGTTCAGAATTGCGCAGTTACACATATAAGTATTGCATTACTGATGGTGAAGGAAAAAGATCTGTATGCTTACAGTTTTTGGCAGCAACATTAGATATTTCACAAAAGTGTATATATTACACGGTAAAAAATGCTTCCTCGGGAAGTGCTAAAGAAGACTTGCGAGGAAAATGTGAACCACACAACAAAACCAAACCTAGTACTAAAGAGTCTGCCGTCAATTTCATCAAAAGCCTACCAGCCGTCCCCTCACATTATTGCCGTTATGATTCTACCCGGGTTTACTTGCCACAGGAATACAAAAATATTGCACACGTATACAGCGTTTACAAAGAACGCAACGTGAAAGCTGGCATAGACATAGTTAGTGAAAAGATTTTCCGAAAAATATTTAGCGAAGAATTTAATATATCATTTCATGTCCCTAAAAAAAGACAAGTGCCTGAAATGTTTACAGTTGCAACATGCAGATCTCAGCGATCCAAAAAAAAAAGAAAGAAAAGGAATATCATGAAACAGAGAAAGAAGAAAGTTTTAATAGATTTTCTACTCATAAATCTATACACAAAACTGATCCTTCCACATTATGTGCAAGCTTCGACTTGGAGAAGGTGTTGAATACTCCACATGGCGAGTCAATGCTGCTTTATTATTCAAGAAAAATAGCGGTATATAATCTATGTTTCTACGAAAACGGAACACGTAGAGTAACTTGCTATTATTGGGATGAAAGCAACGGGAAAAGGGGTGCAAATGAAATCGCAAGTATTCTCCACAGGTACATAAAATCTGTGGATGAAAGAGAAAATATAAAACACCTTCTATACTGCGACTGTTGCCCTGGGCAGAATAGAAATCGCACTGTCCTAGCCATGATACATTCTACTTTGCAGGAGTGTAATAATCTTCAGACGATACAAATTAATTATTTACTAACGGGACACACATATATGCCTGGTGACAGTGTGGGGCTGCGGGCTGTTCGAAAGAGATACCGCGGCTTCCGGAACGTAAGGGCACTGAAGGAACACGGATGGTTTTTAGTCAGTAAAAGTCTGACACTCCCTTACGCTCCACCCAGAGCGAAAGGGGTCATTAGATGATTTTCCATCTGCAAAAAAAAAAAAGTAGATTTATAATACCTAACTAATACTAATACTGTGTACCATAATGTTGCTTTGTTAAACTTAATAAAACTTAAGACAGTTTAAGTGCATTTTATTTATCCATTATTTTTTAGTAATTCTTTAATGAAAGATTAATCCAATTTTCTGTAAAAATGTCGTTTATGTCAAAATTACGGGGAAAAAAAATATAAAATTAATATTTAGGTTGTTTTGCCTCAACTTCCACATGTTTTTTATATTGGTAAGGCAACTTTTACTCTGTTATAAATAAAAAAAAAGATATATACTACATTTTTACCGTACCCTCCTTAATCAAAGCTTGTCGGTTAGTCAATTTTTCCCATTTCTACTTTTAGGGAAAATCTTACTAAGCGACACTAACTTTAAAACTAAGCATTATTTTTAATAGTTACGTATACTATAATGTAGATAAAAAAATAAACAAATAAATTTCTAAGAATTGGGCTTTTTGGACCATTACAAAAATTTACACGATTTTTTTTCAGAAAATTCAAACTTTAAACAGCTCTACTGTAAAGTTAGTCTGATGTCGCTTGGATAATTTTTCCTTTTCAGCGTCGTATAATATCTGATTGTGGCATATTTCTAGCGATGTTATTGTACATGTATATGTTATTGTATATGTATTTATTAAAAAAAAACTACTTTTAACCATTCAACAAGAGACAGTTCATTTTTAGCAAATAAATTTATAATATATATCTGGCAGTTAAATGATGTTCTCAAAAATAAATAAAAACAGATGTGGCAAATATTTAAATATGGTTAATAACAGAATGAAAGAATGAGTAGTATAATAGAAAGTGATGACTCATAAGTGACTGTCACTCATGAGTCATTACCTTCTATTATACTGCTGTTCAGCTAATAACCTCTAGCATTACCTTAACAGCAATTTTATTGGAACCACCTATCAGAAGCCTATTACTGGACATAGGCCTGCCCCAGAGACCTCATAGGAAGGCAATTATCCTTAGTTGCCATGCTTGGCAAGTGGGTTGGCAACTGCAGTTTGTTTTTACTATTTGGAAAACTGCTGCTCAACTCCCGTTTCACTTTCCCTCTGTCACATACACCATAGGATTATATTATGAGGTTCTGGATTGTCTTAAACTGCCACTAAATGAAGCATTTGGCTGCAAGTATTTACAGATCATGACGTTGATGCCATTTAATGTTGAAAGAAAAGAAAATTTCTGTAAGTATGTAAGTGAAAGTAAATCCATCTTCTCATACATGCAGCATGTAAATGTTGACTAGGTAGAGTGGCAACTTATACAAATATATTTAACACTCCCAAATTGGCAATTGCAGTGTGTACAGAAATAAATTGCTAATGCCAACAATAGCAATATGCAAAAAACATTACATAATTGCACTTCATATTTTGAAACAACTTTGTAATTTGACGGCACCAAATTATATGTTGCGAAATCAACTAACACAATAAACCTCCTACTGGGATCATAACTTCGTACAAATACTGCTTGAGTTCATAACTTCGAAATTTCTGTCCACATCGTTTTTGATGTAATAAGTTCATAGAAATATAAAAAACAGAAGTGGCTAGGGGGCGTGTCTGTGTCCGCACACTATGATCAAAATGCTCAGCTTCTATACAAATGGCAGTCTCTGCGAATTAGTGCGCTTTCGACCGTCTTTGTGAAATATCAGAATACCATGTTGTTCAGTGGTTTCTTGTAAAAACCGAAGCCAAAACAAAAACTTTGTAAATCATGGAATCACTTACCATACCTAAGTAAATGTATTTCACTATATTTATCTTTAAAATCATATTAAACAGCAAATCATAAAATATTTTTTGTACTTACTGCATTATTTTTGTTTTCAAATATTACAGCCACTGTAATATTTTTGCAATAAATACATTGCTCCATAACCACTACTTTAGTATGACGCTAAGTGACTGAACAAGCAATGAAAATATCACAAAATGATACTTTATTTATACAGATATATGGCGTATCTTGCGATGAGCTAGTGCTTGTGCAGATTCACTGTCAACTAATAATGTGGATTGGCGAATTGTTATTATAGTATATTCTCCAATTTGTCAACCGTTTCAACCCGATAGGAAGACCGATATGATATAATTTGTTTTACTTATTTTGATTATTTTACAGCAACAACTACTACGTTTACGTGGTAGAGCCATGCTGCAGTTATATTAGTAGTATACTTGTAGCACGAATGGGTCGGCTCGACCGGGGAAGGACCACGCTCTCACAGAATACCAGCGTGAAATAGTAGCTTAATGCTGCTGTATTTCGTATGGTGAGTGTAGAGAACCGGAGACCCTTTTTACTGGAAACGAGGCATTCCATCTTAGTCCTCACGGGTGACAACGCATCTGCATTTTGATTCGTAATCGAGGATAAATGTAGATGTCTATGGGCCACAGCAACCACTTACCATCAGGTGGACTGTGTGCTCGTTTGTCACCCTATCCTATAAAAAAAAAAAAAGTACTATGTTGAATGCGTAACCAATGGTCGTAAAGTAAGTTGATTATATTTTAGGTTAATAATCGATGGAGTGTTCTTAGGTTTGAATTATCGTATATTATGCGTTATCTTCGAGAGATTTTCATACTTTTTATGGTTTTGGGGTTTAACATAATTTAAAGTTTCCAAAAGCTACGAATATATCATAAATACCTAACCAGCATGGTTCGGATAGTATCATAATAGTGTCTTTGGCTTAAAATTAGTCAATATAATTATTTTTGCTACGAGGGCGGCACTGAAAATTTCGGGAATCAAGGACACAACATTACTATTTAAAAATGTATTTATTTGCTTTTCGAAGTATTCTCCGCGAAATTTGACACATTTTTCCATACGATGGAACCAATCATTGAAGCAACCATTTCATTCGGAAGTTGGGATCTCCAAAATGGCCGTTTTGTAGGCGTCCACAGCTTCTTCAGGTGATGAAAATCTCTGTCCACGCAATTTATTCTATATTTTAGGGAAAGTATAGAAATCATTAGGGCTTAGGTCGGGGCTGTACGGCGGATGGTCTAATAATTCTATGTTTTCTTGCTCTAAAAACTCTTTTGTTCTGTGTGCTGTGTGAGAACTCGCATTGTCGTGATGGAGGATGATGCGGCGGTTGCAGTTCTCTTTACGGAGTTCAGAAACGACCTGTGACAAACAAATGCTAGCATACCATTCTGCATTAACCATTCTCCTCCTTCCTCCTCCTCCTCCTCCATTCCTCTTCAAGAGGAATAGTCGTAACATGGCCGGTTTTGGAGACAAACGTGGCCACCATATGTTTTGCAACTCTCCGTGACCGAACAATTTTTGTTGGCTTTAACTCATTTTCGAACACCCAAACTCGTGACTGGTTTTTTGTTTCGGGTTCGTACGCGTATATCCAGGAGTCGTCACCTGATACGATATTGTATACAGCATTTGAGTTTGAGGATCCTGCGTGGAATCTTTCGAGAGTTCTGACGCACCAAGTAACGCGAGCCACTTTTTGCTCTTCATAGAGCGAATGCGGTATCCATCGGGAGAACAACTTTTTTAC